AAAAAAGGCAGAACAAAATAATACAAAGCAGTTATAATCAACCACAATTAAGAAGGAAAAAAACAGCACAACACCTTTAAGAATCGAATCTTCGTTGTTTCAGTCACGTCGAGCACTAAGAATTAAAAAATCTTATGATTTAGACAGTTAAAGGTATGTACTCCATGTAGTAGCAACTTCGCCACTACCACATTTGCATGCCATGGAAATTAAGACACAGACAAATGGTTAGTATGTTTTGTAAACAGCTCATCTTTGGGTATACAACAAGCAATAAAGTTATAGAGATGTCCAAATCCATCAAAATCAGAAAACAGACGGGGATTTGCAGCTTTATAATTTTCAGAAACAAAGGACTTTGACCAGAATTTTAAAAAATTCAAAAACCTTGATAAATTCGAGCAGAATTGCACCAGAGAATCACTCACAATTCAGATTCCGTAAACCATAAACATCCATTCCAGAAGGGAAAAAGTCCTTTCCAGATAACATTTTTGATAACTACAAAGAAGGGCATGCTTGGCATCTATAAAGCAAAGTAGCTCCACAGATATGATAAGAAAGTAAAATTTTGAAAACTAAATACATAAGCAATCTATTATAAGTCAATAAGAGCAATGAAAAGGGCTTCATTTACCTCCTCATCTTTAATGTAGGGTTCAACCCAATTCCAAAGAGTCTTCGGGTCTGCAGCATATCTCAAGTAGAGGAACCCAACCTGAAAACAAAATTAAAACCAGAATGATTATTGATTAAGCAAGTAGATAGCACAAAACATTGTAATGAGGAACATGGTACTTGTCAAATTGAAAACAACACATAAAAATAAGTATGGAATGTTGAATTGACATACATACATACCGCTCTTATGTAAGGAGAGTCTTCGTGCTTTAAGAGACCGTGCATTTGCTTAACGGTGAGCTTCATGGTGAAAAACTTGTAAAGCAGACAGAAAGCGGTGGACGGGCCCCGGCAATTCCCCGTCATCCATGGCTCAACGTGGTCTACTTGGTTGTAAATTTCATCAATAACTTCATGGTAGGTCTTTAACCGGTAAAGCTCTTTAAAGTAGTCGGAAGATAGAATGTTCATACAGAGCACCTTCTCGAGCAACGAGTCAATGGGCTTCCCACATGTCTGTACCTCCATCGACGCCCACGCTTCTGCAATTCAAACATTCAATTTTCATCACCAATGTTTGAAAGCATAACATTATCGCCATTAATAATAGATAGAACAGAAAGGCTCATAATTTACTCTTCCAGCAGTTCCAAAGATGGAATCTAGGGTTAGGGTTAGGGTTACAAAGAACAATCTAGAGGAGGAAAAGCAACTTACTTCAAGCAATCTGGAAGAAATTCCTAATTCGCGATCAGCTGAGCTTCAAAGTTTCAAACCCTCTTCGCCTCTCTCTCTCTTTCTTCGTCCTGAATCCCGACGTCGACGCCCGCGGGGTAGCTTTTCTTCTTTTTGTTATCTCTTTTTCCTATTTATTAAAAATTGAAAAGCCAAAAGAAAAAAGGAAACTAAATACTTAACAGTTTGGGTCTAGAACTTTTGGTCGGTTCATACTTTCAAACATCAACATGGGCTTTGTTTCTATTGGGTCGTGACTTGAGAATGGGCTGCTATATTTGATTTAATAAGTCCAATTTCATCGCACCAAACAAGGACCAGGTCTTTTCTCTATTTTAATTGAAATAGTCCAGTCGAGTCTCACCCACTAAATGTAGACTAAACTTACTAATAGGTTGGGAAGTGATTTTCATCCTCCTTTTTTACCTGTGCACAATCAAAGGAGAATCAAGGGAAAAAACAAGAGAAGGAGTTTATAAGGAGAAGGAGAAAATGAGAGTGCGAAAATCACTAACCAAAGAAAAATAGAGGTCGGTGGGGGCATCAAACTCGCTCATTTTTCATCTCTCACGTTCTTTCTCTTCTCTTTGTGTTTATCTTTTCTCTATGTTTCTTCCAAAACCTAATTCGTAGTGGAAATTTGATGTACACCCTTACACTTGTACAATAGATTTAAAATTATGGATATCATTCAAATCAAAAGCATTGTATCACAAAACTACGGGTCTCCTCTCAA